GGGAAAAACAGATCAGGCAGGAACAGTTCGGAAATCCAGGGGTCCATAGTCCAACAAGGGGTTCCGATCCAGGAACAGATAGGTCCTGGGTTCCAAGAATCCTCAGAGCATTTAGGCAGGCACAGAGTCAGACAGGTCCAGGATCGTGCCCAGACAGACACGCACAGATGCAGACAGGCAGGTTCAGATGCAGACGGGCAGCCTCAGTGCTTGAAGGGACAGATACAAGACATGGTACTGGGATTTCTGCAGGAATCTTTAAACTGGTCTCCCCCTAAGGAGCCAGGCTTATGGGAATGAAACTGACCTTCTTCGTGTTCCGAGCCAAAACCCTGAGGGCTCCGTGGAGAAGGACCAGGACACGATCAGGAGACAAGACAGAGACGAAAACGCACTCAATCCACTGGCCACCAGGAACCAGGACTTGAACCAACTAAAACAAAACTAAATCAACTAGCAGACTGAATAACATTTATAAACAGACAGGCTGCAAACAATGATGTGGTCTCGATAGCTGGGCTGAACTGAATATAAAGGAGCAGACTCAGCTGGATGAGATGAGCGATAATAGAGATAGTGTAGATAATAGATAATAGAGACCGGGCAGTTAGGCAGATGAGTGAAATGAAAAATTAAGGTGAGCTATCAAGGCAGATCATGACAGTTTCAAGAGCAAAATATCTAATTATCTTAATAGAGTTGAGTGTGTTTTAAGATCAGACTGTGGTTAACTACTTTTAACTAAGTACTTGATCACAGAGATACTATAGTTCTAGCCAAGTTAACCATCAGGTGGTGAGAAGCAGACAACGCAACTAATATTTGAATCACTATTTTATATGTATATAGTGACAAAAAGACAATTTAATGATAAGCTTGTGCATTTTTACACTAATATGTCTTAAATTATGTAAAAATCATCACTTATAGATGAAAAAATCTATTTCTCTTGGGGCCCAATGAGTAAGCAGCAGCGTAAACTTCCCTGAGAGCAGCTTATCTTTAGAAAACAGTGATGAAAGTAAAATCGCTTCAGAGATGGAAAAAAATCCCCAAGCACAAAATCCCTCATCTACTCACCAATCTACCTGAATCTTTGGGTCGCTCTAAGGACAGCCTGCAATCCACCAGGAACTGCTGCATCTGCAGAACAGAGCTTTTCTAAACCAGAATTAATAAAAAACGACCTTTTCTCTCCCAGGGTAGGTGGATGATCAGTGGGCTGGCAGAGATAGGATCAACAGCAGGTCTCTATCCGTGATGTCATCAGTGAGTTTGCAAACAGAAAAGCTGGGAAGCAGGTTTTAAGGAGTGAAGTTTTGAGGAATAAAAAGTGTAACATAAAAAAGTCATATGAGGGTAAAGGTAGTTCATGTTTTCATGCGGAGCCTTTCCATATAGTCATGTTCATTCATATATTTTTAAGATCTAATTATTCAGCTTTAGATCTCATTTCCGTTTCTACCTGTTTTCAGACAGCTTTTTATTTCATCATTATCATTATTTTGTTTGATGCTTTTTTTTTTGCTATTTGAACAATTTAATTGATTATTGTTAATCAAAGCTATTTTATCTTTTGTTGTTTTTTAACTACTGTTTTTTTTTATTGGCATTTAGTTGGAATCAAATAGTATAAACTTGATAAGATCTTTACTATAAATAAACTGCATCCAGTTTATTTAATTACTTTTAGTAACACCAGGTGATGCATAGAATGAGGAGGCTGTAAACATGCAGTGAGGTTATAGTAGGTGTGGGAGTGATCTGATCGTGGGACTGTTGTTTGGAGGAATAGATAATATTAGCTGACATAGAGTTTTATCCTCAATGCGGGCAACCTGGGTTCGAATCCAGCCTGTGGTCCTGTCTCTCCCTCTCTCATACCCCCTTTCCTGTCAGCCTCCCGTCCATAAAAACGAGCCACTAGTGCTGTAAAAACTCAAAAATAAATAAAAATAAAAAACAGATCAGGATGCGATGAGCCAGTAATCCAGCCATTCATCCAGGAGCAGTTGAAGTACAGACACCAATCTAGCACTGAAACAGAACTCAGATTACTATGACAAACCTTATGCGGATAAACTGATAATAACAGCATAAGTGCACAGAAACATTTACTGAGCAGATAGAAGTGATACAACTAACATTCTGGATGTAAAGTCTAGATAAAGAAAAAGGATCTACGGTAACGTTGCTTTGTTTATCTATGGTGAAGTAATCTTTCACTGAAGGAGCTGTCCAGTTCTGAAACAGCCTCGGGCATGAGGTGGGAAATATCTCAGTGTTTTCTTCTGTTCATTTGGATGATTGTGGTTTACCCATAATTCTGTTTTTGGCTGAGGTGATACGGAAGCCTAATTTGTTCTTGATGTCTGCCCTCTTCCTCTTACTGGTTGTTTACTTTTTTTTTTTTTTATCCAGTTTTCCTTCTATTTTTTCCTTCTCCATTAGGTGCAGGTCAAAAAATATCAAAATTCCAGAATGATGAAGAATTCCTTATTTCATCATTCTGCTTCATTCTATCTCTATTCTCCCACTCTGCAGAATCTATTAATTCAATCTCTAAGGTTCTGCTCTCTCTGCTTTTTCTCATAGTAGCTTCATCTGGCCTTTAATGATTGGCTGTAACTCCATCCTGTATATATATAGCTGTGCTGCTTCCATCAACACCTTTGTTTATAGATGTTGGAGATCATCCTGTTTTTCAGTGTAGTCCTGTTTCTTGCTGTTAAGAGGGAGTTTTTCCTCTCCACTGTCGCTACAAGCATGCTTAGTGTGAGGGATTGCCTTTGAGTCAATGATTCGATGCAATCAACTGGTTTTCCTTAGATAGAAAACTTTGAATCAATCTGACTGGATGATCTTATGAACTGTAAAGTGCCTTGAGATGACATGTTGTGAATTGGCGCTATAGAAATAAACTGCATTAAATTAAAAATCCATTATTCTCCTTACTATAAGAACAAAGACAGGCTCCTGCCTTATTGAGTTCACATGTCTTTTTTCTTGCAGAAACAAGTTCATCAGATAAAGCACAGTACGGCACCATCGCAGATGGAGCAAAAGTTAGAGAAAAGAAAAAAATTGCAACCATCCCCACCACTACCATAGCTGTAATGATGCGGGAGTCATGAATAAAGAAATGAAAAACCAAAAAGGGACACATTATTAGTTTCCAATTTTTAAAACAAAGCTGAAGCTCTCATTGGTCATCCTGGCAAAATATGATCCACTCATCAATGACTGCTCTAAAATAGACTAAAATAAGTATATCCACAGGATCCCCGGCTCTTTGGTTGATCAAACTGCTCCTTTCTACTCATTTCTAAGGAAGATCTTCACACTTTGTCTTGTGTTCATGAGCTACAGCTGAACATAGTGGACTTTCTAAGGATTTATTTCTTAAGCTTAAAGGAAGCATGTTTAATCTTGTAAAGTGTTAAACCGTTCATCTTTGCTTTTTAAATTAAATTAAATTGAATATATAAATACCCTATTGCTACATTTAATCTCACTTAGTACGAAGTACATTTTATTCCATTATAATCTGAAAGGAAAACTTGAAAAAAATATTCTTAATCAAAAATGGTCTCAAGATTAACTGCATTTTTCTCAGAAAATCTTTAGAAAATCTGAAATAAATACCTTTTTTATTTATTGTCCATTTATAATCTTTAACATTATTTATTGATTACCCAATTTTTTATGTATTTATTTATGTGCATGTTATAATATTTTTGTCTGTTTTAATCTTCCTTTGTATTTTTGTTACCCTAATTATTTCTTCAATGCTATTTATTTCTGCCCCGTCGTTTTTACATTTCTGTCTGCATTTCTGCCTCATTATGCAAAAATGAGGAAGGGCTGCATCATAGATGTCTTTAACAGGGGTCTGCGACCCCTAGGGGGTCAACGGAGGTACTGTATGGGGGTCGCAAAAGTTTTGGTTGATTAGACTTTTTTTTATTTTCCCCCTGCAGTTTTTTTCACTAATTGAAATGTCTTTAAATCCACATTAAAATGAATTTAACACACTGTAGTAAACAGATAAATGGAGGCAGAAGATGTCTTTCAGTCATCAATGCACACATTCAGTGACACACAGGAGCTCTTTCAAACTGGGCACCGTTTCATTCACAACACCTGTCCCATCAACCAGGAATCAGAATCAGAAATACTTTAATAATCCCAGGGAGAAATTACTTTCATTACATTACTCCATCTGTAATAGAGTGACTATAGGACTAGTTTGATACAACACTGTTTCTCCTATATATATATATAAAAACTCCTATATTACATACACAGAACACCTATTACATACACTGTACTTAATCTGTATTTTTTGTATTTGTATTATTGTATTTGTATTTCTTTTGCTTAATTTTAATTTAATTTAACTTAATATTTTCTTGCCCTGTAAGCTGCTGGTAACCTTAATTTCCAGAGGGAGTCTTCCCAAGGGATCAATAAAGTACAGTCTAAGTCTGTCTAAGTCTATGTATAATTAGGGGGCCCCGCTCCATCTCGCCATCAGTTTGAGCGTCCTTGGCCTGGAAAACGTTGAAGACCCCTGTCTTAGAGGGTCAACTTCTGCCCGCGGGTTGGTTAGCATTTTCTACAGGAGGACAGGAGAGTCTGAAATCACTGGACGTTTCTCAATTTCAGGCAGAAATAAATAGCATTGAAGAAATAAATAGGGTAAAAAAATAAAAAGTAAGAATAAAACAGCCAAAAATGTAATAACATGCACATAATTAAATAGGGTAATCATTACAAAGTGGAATAAATAAAGAAGCAAATTAAGAGATATATACATTTATGTCTCACTTTATAATTTAATTTCTACCTACATGTATTCATTTATTGTATTTTTTAGGAGCAATTAATTGCATGCTTATTTATTTACTCATTTATTTATTTCTGTATTTATTTTTAAATCTAGTAGAGCTGGTCCTCCATAGATTCCTGTTGGACGTTTGACCTTTTCTGTCTCACAGCTGTCCTGGAGTCTGTGTCCTTGGACAAGTTTATCCCAGAGTCCCCGTCCACCAGTGAGCCGGGGGACTTGTCTCCCTGCCGCTCCCCGTCCACACCAAGACATCTGCGATACAGACAGTCTGGAGGTACAGAACTGCAGCAGCTCGCTGCTACGATGCCATAAAACTCTAATAGAAAGCTAGGTTTTATTATTAATACAAGATAACCTTCAGTTTAGTGACATATTTATGTACATTCCAACTGAAAAACAACAAAATCATCTACAAGACCATTTTGGTTCTCTTTCAAGATTTAGTCAAAACACAGATCAGAGTTTTAAACCATGCATCTATGTTTTAACTTGAGGCTATTTTAACTGCAGTGTTTCCACTTTTCTCTTTGTTTCCTTCACTTTTCTGGTTGCTTCCAGTCACAGCCGGTGAGAACTCTCGCTGTACCATGTCGCCAGCATCGGCGTTCGCCATCGCCACAGCCGCCGCAGGGCACAGCAGCTCGCAGGGTGAGTCGTGAAGGTCACGGCGGATGTAGCCGAGGGAGGGAGGGAGCTCTGGTTGGGTTGTCAATTGAATTATATGTTCTGGAGCAGTTAAAAAGGACAGCATAATGTAATTTAAAGATAAGAGGAAGGAAGTAAACTATGTGTTGGAGATTTCTGCTTCAAAAGGCAAATGAAGACAATAATATAATCAGCTTTCATTATTATTTTTTTCTTATTTAAAATGATTAGCTTGAACATTTGGTAAAGCTGCAGTGTAAAAGAAATTCAAACACAAATAGTGAGCCTAATCTGCTCAACTATATATTTCATTTATTATTGCTAAAGCATTTGCAAAGCAACTTTTAGCATGCAACATATACAGCAGTTTTTACAGATTAATTCATGAGATTTCTTTATTTATCTAAAAGGAGAACTTTATTGTAAACTGTACTGTAAACTTACAGTAGTAGCTATTCAAAATTTCCCAACTTTCCTTGATGGACCCTTGCCTGATCCTTAGCTGGTCCCCTAAAATTAATTTTTAAACATCAATCTTTGTACTAAAATATTCTTTCTGTCATCATTTGTGGACATTAAGATCTAAAGAGAAGCATCATCTCCTGGTCAGACCCTGTAATTCAGTGAAAGGGTGGAGTCAGCGTATTAAAACATGCAAGAGGGGGTCAGTCCGGTGAAAAAAATCAAAATCTAGATAAGTTGTTTTTTTCTTAAAATAATTGCATTTGTTCTTGGATTGAGGAGGTAAATGAGACATTTTGCCAATGGAACAAGACATTTTACACTTAAAATAAAAAAACACAATTGCATTGTCTTATTTCAAGTTCATTTTATCTAATTATTTTTATTTTAAGAGTAAAAATACTTATTCCATCAGCAAATCATCTAATTTACCTACTCAAATTAAGGGTGTTGCAGGGAAGTGGGCTGCTATTCGGCTGGGGTTTGACTGGAAAAGGCCACTTTCAATGGCTGCTTCTGTAAACTTCTAGTGAAAGAGTAAAAGTTGTTTAATTTCCGGAAATTTTTTTTTTTAATTTTCATTCAATTTTAGATGTAATTGTTATTTGTTCAAACCACAGATGACTGTTTTGAAGTCTCTGTCTCTTTACAGACGATTTATGTACAAAACAGGTCTGCCTTCTGAAGCTGTTTGTCAAATATAATCACCATAGATGCTGCTAGCGCAGTATGCATGTGTGGATTCGGTTCATTTCATTTTCACGCCTCTTTTTTTTTTTTTTTTTTTTTTTGCCCTTCTAGGTTTCAGTAACTCTGAGAAAACATGTGACAAGGAATTCATCATCCGCAGAGCTGCTACCAACAGAGTCCTCAACGTGCTGCGCCACTGGGTCTCCAAACACTCCCAGGTGAGTCAGCGCAGGGCTTTGCTGCACGAAAGGAATCAGCTTTTATGTCAGCATTCTGATAAAAAAAATGGAAGGATTTGGGTTTGAGCCTTTGGTTTATTAATTGTATTAGATTTACAACATTTTGCAGTGAGTCTTACCAAAAACGAGGTAAAATAGTAAGCCCCAGTGTCGGGCTCAAGAGGTTTATTGGATGCTGGGGAGTTAATGGATGATGGAAGGCAGGTTAAGACTAACCAGGCTAATGATAGACTGTTGACAGGCTGGAGAAGACAAATGAAGACTGAACAGGCTGGTCATAGGCTGAGCCGGCTGGTGACAGACTGAATAAGTCAGATGAGTGCTGAACAGCCTAAAAGATGGCTTTAGAAAGCAGATAAAGACTGAACAGCTTGGTGACACTCTTGTGGCAGGCTGAGCAGAATGGTAACAAACATTAAAAGGTTGATTAAAATGAGGTAGACTGATGGCAGGCTGAATAAGCTGGGAAGGCAGAGCAAGGCTTTACATGCTGATGATAGCCTGAACAGGCTGGTGACAAGCAAATCAGGCTTTTAGGATGAACAGGTTGAGCAGGCTGCTGGCAGGCTGAACAAGTTGGTGACGGTCTTGAGAAGGCAGATTAGGACTAAACAGGCAGAAAACAGGTTGATGGTAGGCTAAACAGGCTGGTAAGAGGCTGCTGGTAGGCACAGATAGTTCAGAAACAAAAAGACAAAAAATTTACTGACTGGGCAAGCTGATGATGGGCTGAACAGGCTAGTGACAGGCTGAAGACAGATATAGACTGACAGGCTGGTAACAGGCTAAAAATGCTGTTGACAGGCTGGAGAAAGCAGATGAAGACTGACAGGCTGTTAGCATGCTAGATAAGTTAGTGGAAAGCAGAGGTAGTCCATGTCATGACCAGAAATAGAAGGAAACGAGAACCCAGTGAGGGTAGGGAAGACTCAGGAAGGTGGTGCACGCAATCACTGGGAATATACATGCAGGCATCGAGACGATCTGGAGAAGATCGACTGGGAGGAGAAGGTATTTATAGGAAGAGTTCCATGTGAAAGCTGTTTACCCGATTGGCAGAGTGGAGGAGAGCTAAAGGAGAATAAGAGCCAGCCACTCAACAAAACAGCAATCAAAGGAAAGCTGCGTAAAACAAACGTCCTCTCTGAGTCTGTCACTGTAGTTTTCTGTGATGGCTGCACAGATCCGTACATTAAAGTCGATCAGATTTGATTGAGATGGAGCCTAGGTGGAAGTTCAACTGAATAAAATGTTTAGTCAATCAGCTTTGAACCGTGCCTTCACAAAAGCCAATGAGCGTCCAAAGTTCATCTTAAAAGGCCTCAGATCCACAACTTGTCTGCTACCTAGTGCATAGGTGGTGGTTGTGCTGTGACTTCATTCAGAGGGCCTCTTTTTAACCCACCTCCAGACTTCCTCCACCATGGTAGCTAAAACTTCATCAGACTTTCATTCCACCTGGACTCTTACTGCATTCCGCGCCTCATTTCAACCGGTCCGGCAGAAGACCACCATGTTGAGCCTGATTCTGACAGAGGTTTCTTCCAAATTGGGAGTTTTTCCTCTCCACTCTCACTTCATACGTGCTCATCATGGACAGATTCTCTCTAACTGTGTTATCCAAACTGGACTTCCATCTTCCAGGTTCCTGAGTAAAGCTCTAGTACCAGCTTACGCAGTCCACTGGACCTCCCCATAAAGTTCAGCACACTGTCTGACTAACCAGCAGTCTACAGACTGACCAACTTCATCTCCACTCCACCACCAGTTTAAGGCGTGGGGGGGGGGACAGCCCTGTTCATGCGTATCAATCAAAAATCAGCTCTATTACCCCATTTACATTACCCTTGAAAAACCGATCCATGCCGAGAGCGGTCCGAGCTCGGATCAGTTAACCAGACCGAGCTCGGTTCTGACAACCGTTTACAAATTACGCCATCTCGGTTCCTCGCCTCCCAGTGACGATCTGCGGTATTACTGCCAGTATTAAAGGAGAAAATAGAGCAGTTGGTGGCGGTAATGCACCAAAAGTTGTTTGCCAACCGCCATAAAACACAAGAAGAAGAAGACGACGAAAAAGGAGGGAATCAAGCAAATTAAAATGGCGGCAGCTGTCACATTTAGAAAGTTATGCTTTATTATTGATGTACTTGGATGTTATTATTGATGTACTTCGATGTTATTATTTAAAATAACATCGAAAATAACATCGAAATTTAAAATGTTGCGTGGAGAAGATTTTGATTGTTGTTTATAGTTGTTCTTCTGTTTTGTGTTGGTTGGCAAGCAACTTCTGGAGGGGCATTACTGCCAACTACTGGAATGAAGTGTGAATCGCGATGTTCAGCCAGACGGAGATGACGTGTTCTGCTCATGCGCTCTCGTTATCAGGGAACCGAGCACACCTCTGGAACTGGTCTGCAGTTAGCTCGGTTCGGATGTGTCTAGCTCGATTCAGTTCAGTTTGTTTTTCATTTACACACGATAAGTTATCTCAGTTACTGAGCTTGGACCGGTCTTGGCACAGTTTTTCAAGGGTAGTGTAAATGGGGTATCTGTTTCCTGCCGAGGTCTGAGCGCTAAAGACTAAGTAATTCTATCAATACATTTCTTCTGATTATTTTTTCTCTTTGTGTGGGTTTTTCAGATTGAACTACATTAGACTGCCTTATGGTCAGGCTTGATTTGGTTGTCACTTCTTGATGGATCCTTTTCTGAGTTAGCAATCTCATGTTCGCTGTTAACATTGGAGTATAAGCAATATGATGCATTGCTGTCTTAGAATGCATTGCATCAGCTAAAGAGAGTTTCATTAACAATCAGGTAGACCGACCATAGGCCGTCACTATATAGCAGCTTTTATATCAATTACACTCGTTAAACATCTTTAAACTACCAAAGAAATAAAAGGGGAACTAAATGCTTTCTTTGAAGATCCACCTTCGTTTCCATGTTGAAAAATCTAATTTTGTCTTAATTCCCATTCATCTTATAAAATGACTATTTATATCTTCCAGGGAAGTTTAACATGCAACTACAAACATAAATAAAACATCTAACTAGGCAATAAAATTGTTATGCCAGTTTGAGCTAATCTGGAAAATAAAGCCTGTAAAGTTGCCATAGCTGCAATTTTTCATGTTCCTCGGTTCTTTTGACACACAGCTGGAGGAGAAAGCCCCCTTCATAGACGCATCTAAAAACGCTAGTTGTTGTTTTTGCTCTCGCCGTTTTTCCTCTCCCATCACCGCTCCACTGACAGAGGTGCTCTTTGCGCCGCGTGTCCTTCCCCCCATGGAATCACTCAGAAAGGTCACCCTGATCCCCAGGGAGTCCCAGAGAACTGTCGTTTTTATTTAACATTATATAAGCTGCTAATTTTCTAACTTGATGCCTAAAAAAAAATGAACTTGGTTTTTTTTTGCGTGTGTTGAAAAATTAAGCTGAGTGACAGATGTTCTTAACCTTTGTTACGTCCACCTGGCTTGTTAGGTGGGGTAACATTAATGGAGACCACACAAGGATTTTAGAGTTAATGAAAAAGAAAATTTCTTAAATTATATTAAGTAAAAACTGAAAAAAGAATTGCCTGAAATAAGAAGCCAAAACAGATTAATACAAAACCATAACCAATTAGAAATAAACAAACGCAAAACAAACCTAACAAAACTCAATCATAAGGTACAAACCAAACCAACTGGGTTCTGAAGAGGGAGAGGAGGAAAAAAGCCTCCTGACTGCTGCAGCATGACAGCTTTTAAAGCAGCAGAGCACCAATCAGGGGAAAAATCATAACACCTGCAGAAGGCCTGCCTCCAGGACCCTGAAAGAAAAAGCAGAGACCCCCTGCAGCCGTAACACCTTCCATTAAAATATCTCTATAATAACACTAATCAGTTGCTGTTCTTAATCTCCCACAGTCCCGTTTCATGGATTACAGATTTGTGTTTAACAGTTAGTTGAAATAACCATTAGCAGTTTTTTATATTTTTGTAAGCAAATTCCTCCACCATCCGTTTCCTAACTAGACAGGGAACATGGCTGAGAACCCCTGCAGATGATGGCAGAAGAGATCTTTAAAACAGACTTGCTCTTTTTTTCAGCATGGCTACTAAATTAGCGTTGTTTTGTAGAGTGGAGCAACTGGATCTTTATCGTTACTGGAAGTAGACCCACATTTGCCGTCTCTGATGCATTGTTAGGGTGTGAAGTTTCCTCTGTTTGTCTATCAGGACTTTGACATGAACAGTGAGCTGAAGACGGGGGTGATCGGTCTTCTGGAGGAGGTTCTGCGAGACCCGGATCTTCTGCCCCAAGAGAGAAAAGCAGCAACCAACATATTAAGGTGCAGAACGCCACATTCCCCTAAGATAACCGATTTAAAATCATAGCTTTATTTGATTTATTTGGTTCTTATTTTTTTTTTTCGGCCAAAGGTTACGTTTTTTAATATATCTTCCACTTACAGCTGTAATATTGTGGTTTGCTTTGCAGCGCCCTTTCTCAGGATGAACAAGACGACACTCAGCTGAGGATAGAGGACATCCTGCAAATGGTCTGAATTAAAGCGTATTAACACTTTACTGAAAGGGTTCAATGAATAAAATTGGTTAAACCGACTTCTCCTTTCATTTTGTAACAGAAAAGCTGTCCTCTTCTGCATTTCATTGCGGTAAGTTTAAGAATTGCTGTGATGAGGAAACTCCTCCCCTTTAAAAATCAACCAATTCAGTTCAGTTTATTTATGTAGAACTAATACCAGCTCTTATTGTCCAAATTCCTTAGTCAAATGTCCCTTCAATGTTTGCTGTTTTGCTGATCCCATCCTTCCTGCAGATTCGTGACGCTAGCATAGAGATAATTTTGTTCCGATGCTGCAGCGAAGAGCAGGTTTTGTAAATAGAAATTTGAAAAAATGCAATCCAGAAATAAAACTTTTAAGAACTTCTTTATCAAAAATTTGTATTTTTTAGATTATTTTATTTCTTTTGTTTTTATATTTTTTACATAAAGATTTCATATTTGCAAATTTTATTCTTTTCAAATTGGGTTTTCCAAATAACCTTTTTTTTTCATTTATGTGGGTTAGGAAAGACAGTTAGTCTATGGGGTGAATTTAGTGCAGTTATTGTTGTATGCAGAGGTCCTATTTTGTAAATAAAAATTTTAAATGCAACCCAGAAATGAAACTCGGTAATCAGAAAAGGATTTTAAAGTATCTGTCGTTTTTACATATTTCACATATATTATTGTTTTTTCTCTTTTATTTTGAGTTTTACAAATTGCATTTTTGTCAAACTTCTGCTGATCTACACAGGCGTCAGCAACAGCATTTTATTGTTCAATGTGTGCATCGAAAGCGAGCATTTGTATTGGGCTTGAAGTGAAGGGAAAGAAGAATGTATTTTGCAAAATTTTATCTGAAAAAATGCAAAAATAGAAAATCTAAAAAAAAAAAATGTATTTAATCTGGAAAAAGGTGAACGAATAAAAATCAGTTAATCTCAAAACGTTTTTTAATTAAGAAGTTTTTCAAAGTCTCATATTGCTGGATTGGATTTTGTTTTTTCAAATTTAAAAAAAAAGCGTTCTTGGCTTCTGTCAATAATGGAACAACTCTCACTCCATATTTGTCTGCATGAAGGTTACCAACAATATTTCTACTAGTCAATGTGAAGCCTTTTACTGGGATTCACATGAAGAGAATGTGATCTATGAAACACAATTTAAAGAGAAAGCAATTCATCAAATTCTTTGATAAAAATGAAATAAGTATATTTTTTATAGCAGAAAAAGTGTAAGCTGAGATAAGTTACTCTCAAAGTTTCATTTCTGTTTTGACTTTTATTTATTTCCATTTTAAAAACGTGCTCTGCACATGCAACAATGAGGGAAATAAAATCCCTTCATACTTTTGTGGTCTTTGTGTCCCGTTTTCCACCCACTGAGCTAATGTGTCTGTTGGATCCAGGCGGAGAGTCCCAAAGCTGAATCCTTTGAGTCGCTGTCGGCCATGGAGGTGGCAGAGCAGATCACGCTGCTGGATTACATCGTTTTCAGGAGTATTCCCTACGAGTGAGTACACATACTCTGCTTCCTGTCATTTATTTTTTCACCACCTCTCTGATATCAATCATTAAACAACCTGTTTAGAAACAACAAGGCTGATAGGGAAACAAATGCACCTACAAAATTAAAGTGAGGTGTAAACATATCCATGGCGACCTCTGCACAGCATTCCTGTTTATTAATGTTACTTTAAAGGAATAGTACACCCAAAACATGATTAGCCTTCATTTTCTACTCACCCCCATGCTGAACAACACTCTGGAGTACTTTTTTGATATCTCAAATGCATCTGGAGATCTGGGAGGCTTCTTACTGTCTGCTGACATTCAAATAATGGAGGTGCCCAGCGCCCGAGGCAGAAAGGTCCATAAAAGTAAAAAAAAAACGTGTCAATATTCCTCCATACTGGTCGTCTAATGTATTCCAAGTGTCCTGAGTGGGTAGCATCCATAATTTACTCGAAACTAAGTCATTTAGAATGTTTTTAGAGCATAAACATATAGGATTTCCTGAAAGTGCGCGCCAGCGCGTTCCCGACGCTACGGAAGCCAGCAGACCAAACCAGATGAAAGTGCGCATTCAGCGTCTGCTCTGCCGATAATGCAAGCGTAGAAGAAGAAATGTGCCGTTTACCTGTGCAAAGAAGGAAACAACGAAAGAAAAATGTCTGAGGACTTCAGTGTTGAGGAAGAGCATGAGTTCTTTGCCGAGCTGAATGCGCACTTTCATCTGGTTTGGTCTGCAGACTCGTAGACTCGTGAACGCGCTTTCAGGAAATCCTATACACTACTGTTTATGCTCTAAAAACATTCTAAATGACTTCGTTTCGAGTAAATTCTGGATGCTACCCACTCAGGACACTTGGAATACATTGGACGACCAGTATGGAGGAATATTGAAACGTTTTTTGTGGACTTTTATGGACCTTTCTGTCTCGGGCGCCATAGACCTCCATTATTTGAATTTCAGCAGACAGCAAGAAGCCTCCCAGATCTCCAGATGCATTTGAGATATCAAAAAAGTACTCCAGAGTGTTGTTCAGCATGGGGGTGAGTAGAAAATGAAGGCTAATCATGTTTTGGGTGTACTATTCCTTTAAGGATTTCTTTTTCACCTACAGCCAGAGATAGAGAGGGTCACGCTCAGTTAGAGTTCACATCAAATCAAATGGTCAATCTGTGGCGAGACAAAATCCAGTTTTTGTAAACAGACGTTCTCCTTCCAGTCTGACTGAGTTGCAGCTTTATTACTAAGAAAACCTTCCAAACCTTTCAGTTTTTGAATGAGCAAACTTGATGGGGACAAAACCCTAAAAATCAGAAGGCAGGTCTATGTAGAAACGACCAAAAGAGTTGGAACAGAAATTAAAAAGCATTATTTTATTTTTTTTAATTTGATTTCAAGTGTGTGAAAAGCTGAAGGGATGAGAGCCCATTTGTAAAGCATGTGAGCGACTGTCTGACTTTGTGTGTCTGTTCAGGGAGTTCCTGGGTCAGGGATGGATGAAGGTGGACAAGTCGGAGAGAACGCCGTACATCATGAAAACCAGCCAGCATTTCAATGACGTAAGAAATAAACGTTTGCTTTCCAACACAAATGTGTAAAGATAGTTTCTTCCTTTTTGTTTCATAGATTTATTTTACTTTCTTTCAAAAATTATAATAATAATAAAAGCTTATATTTAATAGTTTAATATCCAAAGCTAACATTTTCAGATTTACCATAAAGCAATCAGAAAATTTAAATAAGATTGCCTCTGTAGAATGCAGGGTTTCAAGTATTTCCGGTTCGTCGCGATTGCCCGTGATAAAAAAAAAAAAAAAATCACTCGAAATATAGATTGAATAAATAAATAAAATTGAATAAATAAATTTGAAAAAGACAATCAACATCCCTCTTTGCATTTGTCAGCCAATTGTAGCAAAAGGAGCACTCTGAAACTAACAGTATTAGCCAATCAGAAGAAGAAGGGGGCGGGTCTTAGGAAAGCGTGTTCCTCCTCCTCTCGTTTCTTGCTCAAGTCGCCACATAGATTGTGGTACAGAGCTGAAGTTCTACACAGAAAGTCACTTTGTGCAGTTTACAACTACATCCAATGGAGAGACGTGTAAAAAGTCAAAAAATAAATGAATTAAACTTTGTGTTTGGAGAGAAGGACGATGGAGAGAACAGAATTTCTTCAACTTCAACCAGTTGATGTTTTTGATGTTAACTTTGTATTGCTTTTTGTATTCAATTTACCATTTTTTTACTGATGAATAAAGTTTAAAGTTATTGAAATGTTGAAATTGCTGAATTATTTACACTGTAAAAACAATCTAGAAATAAGTAAAAATTTCTTAAATTAAGTGTATTTATCCTGAATTTGAGTAGGTAAATGAGTTGATTTGCCAATGGAATGAGTATTTTTACTCCTAAAATAAGATATTTAGATAAAGTGCACTTGAAATTAGACAATACAATTGTTTTTTCTTATATTAAATGTAAATTGTCTTGATCCGTTGGCAAAGTGTCTCACTTACCTCCTAAATTCAAGAAAAATGCACTTATTTTAAGAAAAAAAGGACTTATTGAGATTTCGTTTTTTTTGCAGTGTAGTTATTTAAACTTTTAATGTTCTCTAAATGCCAGACTGAATTTCATCTACCTTTGTAACAGTTCACCTTGAGTGTAAGTTAATTTATAACTTGTTAAGGACAACGCTTAGCACCACAACTGGATATCAAAGAAATGCAGTTCATGCACTTTTGGCATTTTCTGGTAGTTCTTGGTATTGGATTTTCAAAAGTCAAATTTAGTCTTTAATCATTCATGCAATCTCTGATCGCATGCCGCCACACCCTCCTGGCATGGCTTGTGTCGAAAAAGTTCAAGCTCAGGATATTTTTTTTTGCTTTAATCCCTGAGAATAACTCCTGCAGCAGTAGGGAAGAGAAGGATGAACCCACAGGAAGCTGATGGTAAAACCTTGAAAGTGCTCACAGCCCTCCTCTATCGGTCACCAAAATCCTGCTCACTCTGTCGTATAACTTTCTTAATAAAATGGTTAGTATAAAAAAAAGAAATCCCATTTTTCTGGTCTTCTCTCCTCAGATGAGTAACCTGGTGGCGTCTCAGATAATGGATCACACTGACGTGGCTTCCCGCGCCGGCTCTATAGAGAAATGGCTGGCAGTGGCCGACATCTGCCGCTGCCTCAACAACTACAACGGAGTGCTTGAGATCACCTCTGCTCTCAATCGCAGCGCCATCTACAGGCTGAAGAAGACCTGGGCTAAAGTTTGCAAACAGGTTTTAGATCCCATCACTCAATCGGCTGAATCCACTCGCTTCATTTTATGCACAAAACCTTCAATTGTTGATTTATCTTCTGGTTTTTAGACCAAGGCGCTGATGGACAGGCTTCAGAAGATCGTATCGTCAGAGGGGAGGTTCAAGAACCTCAGAGAAACCCTGAAGAAGTAACTACAGAAATAAAATGAGACTGCTGACAGATAATCAATACCTGTCCCACAGCATGATACCGTCTGGGTTCCTTTTTTGTCCTTCTTGTACACAGCTGCAACCCTCCGTGTGTCCCGTACCTGGGCATGTACCTCACTGACCTGGCCTTCATCGAGGAGGGGACACCCAACTTCACAGAGGAGGGCCTGGTTAACTTCTCCAAGATGAGAATGGTGAGCATTTCTCCAACTAACTGATCATATTAGCTCTTTATCAAGGCAGGCTCAAATTAATTTATGAAGATAAAAAGGTGATTTAAGGATCTCTGAGGTTTATGGTCTTAGCAAGTTTTAAAAAGTTATTTTTCTTATGGATTAACTTCCCACATAAGGATAAAAAAACAAGTTTGAGGTAACTTCAAAGATTGTATAGAAATCAGCAGAGGTTTGCAGCGCGTTGGAGCCATCTAGTGGCTGGAGAAGGTAAAACAATATATTAATTAAAAAAACAACTTATTTTTAAATCAATAAATTCATGAGTTATGGAAAGATGTTTTCTTGTTAGCTAAGAATTCAATTCAATTCAATTCAGTTTATTTATATAGCGCCAAATTCACAACACATGTCATCTCAAGGCACTTTACAGTTCAACCAGATCATACAGTCAAATTGATACAAAGTTTTCTATCTAAGGAAAACCAGTTGATTGCATTGACTCATTGACTCAAATACAATCCCCCACACTAAGCATGCTTGTAGCGACAGTGGAGAGGAAAAACTCCATTTTAACAGGAAGAAACCTCCAGCAGAACCAGGCTCAGTGTGAGCGGCCATCTGCCGAGGCCGACTGGGGTTCAAGGAGACAGAAGCAGAGATACAAAAAGCAGCTGTAAAAGGCGGCCCTGCCCAGGAAACACACAGCCAGGCAGACGAGCTCCAAGGCAGCTCCCATGCCAGAGGACGAAGAGAGCACATCCACTCAGTCACGGTCAGAGAAACAGGACCACACTGGAAAACAGGCCGATCTCCAACATCTATTAACAAGGGTGTTGATAGAAGCAGCACAGCTGATGTTTTTTTCCAGGATGACGTCACAGCCAAACAGGAACAGACGAGGCAAAGCTACTCTGAGGAAAAGCAGAGAGAGCAGAAGGTTAGAGATTGAACTAACAGATTCTGCAGAATAGGAGAACAGAGAGAGAATGAAGCAGAATGATGAAATGGGGGTCCCTATGTCCTCCAAAAGTCTAAGCCTATAGCAGCATAACTATAGAGATAGCTCAGGATAACCTGAGCCACCCTAACTATAAGCTTTATCAAAAATGAAAGTTTTAAGCCTAGCCTTAAAAGTAGACAGGGTGTCTGCCTCACAGACTAAAACTGGTAGTTGGTTCCACAGGAGAGGAGCCTGATAACTAAAAGATCTGCCTCCCATTCTACTTTTAGAAATTCTAGGAACCATTAGTAAACCTGCAGATTGAGAGCGAAGTGCTCTGTTAGGAACATAAGGAACAATCAGATCTCTGATATAAGATGGAGCTTGGCCATTTAAGGCTTTATATGTGAGAAGGAGGATTTTAAATTCTATTCTTGATTTAACAGGAAGCCAATGAAGAGAAGCCAGGATAGGCGAGATATGATCTCTCTTTTTAATTTTCATTAGAACTCTGGCTGCAGCATTTTGGATCAGCTGAAGGCTTTTAACTACAGTTTGTGGACTTCCTGATAGTAAAGAATTACAATAGTCCAGCCTTGAAGTAACAAATGCATGGACTAGTTTCTCAGCATCACCCCTGGACAGGATATTTCTAATTTTTGCAATGTTCCTCAGATGAAAGAAGGAAATTCTAGAAAGCTCTTTGATATGGGATTTAAATGACAGGTCCTGATCAAAAATAACACCAAGATTTTTTACTTTATTATCTGAAATCAGTTTAATCCCATCCAAATGAAGTGACTGGCTAATCAGTTTCTTTTTCAGAGACTCTGGTCCAAAGACTATAACTTCTGTTTTGTCTGCATTCAGAAGCAGAAAGTTAAGAGTCATCCAGGTTTTTATGTCTTCAAGACATGCCTGTAATCTATGTAATGGGTTAGCTTCATCTGGATTTATAGACAGATATAGCTGGGTATCATCAGCATAACAGTGGAAATTAATCCCATGCTGTCTAATAATTCTACCAATTGGGAGCATGTATAAAGTAAAGAGAATTGGTCCTAGCACTGATCCCTGTGGTACTCCACAGGTAACCTTTGAGCGTGTTGAAGATCTATCATTAACATGAACAAACTGAATTCGATCAGATAGATAAGATTTAAACCAGTCTAGTGCTGTTCCTTTAATTCCAACAAAATATTCAAGTCTTTCTAAAAGAATATTATGGTCAACTGTATCAAATGCAGCACTAAGATCCAACAGGACGAGCACAGATACAAGTCCATTATCTGAGGCCATGAGAATATCATTAGTGACTTTCACCAGAGCTGTTTCAGTGCTATGATGAGCTCTAAAGCCAGACTGAAACTCTTCAAAAAGTTCATTATGGTGGAAGTGATCGCAAACTTGTTTGGCAACTACTTTCTCAAGAATTTTGGATAAGAATGGAAGATTGGATATAGGTCTATAATTGACCAAGTCATCTGGGTCAAGAGACGGTTTCTTAAGCAGAGGTTTAATTACAGCAATCTTAAAAGCTTTAGGTACATATCCCTGTAACAGAGATAGATTAATCACATCTAAAATGGAGGAGGAGATCAAAGGGAATACCTCCTTAAATAACCTGGTTGGAACTGGATCTAACATACAAGTTGAAGGCTTAGATGAAGACAATAATTTTGCTAATTCAGAGAGTTCAACTGGATCAAAGCAGTCTAAACCCGGTTCAGATTCCATGACTACCTCAGGTACAATCGCGGATAGAGGAGTGCTTATGATCTTATTTTTAATAAGATCAATCTTATTTATAAAGAATCCCATAAAATCATTGCTGCTAAGAGCAGGTGGAATGGACGGTTCAACAGAGCTATGGCTCTGGGTGAGTTTGGCAACTGTATTAAAAAGAAATCTAGGATTATTCTGAAAAGCATGAAGTATGTTTTTAATCTGATCATTTTCAGTTTGTTTAATAATGAATGCACTGAGCTGCACAGATTCTGTTTAAGACTTTGTCAAGCACTTAAAGATCTACAGTGACAACAGAAACTGAAGCTGCAGAATCTTATGGAGTGAATTTTGTACCATTATTTTTTTAAAGAAAAGGTTATAGATTGAATTTCATTCCATTATTTTCTTTAAGCAAAGAACACATTTTGTGAATGGAAATTTTAAGAAAGGGAATTAGAAAAGTATATCGGAAATATTTCTACTTTTAAAAAAAAAGGTTTTGGGAGTAACTGCTGTTTTCTCATGATTTTTATTATTATTTTTTTTTTTTACTTTATTTTAGAAATAAATTGTAGATGTCATATTTAAAATTTTCATTTTTTCAAATTTCTTTTTTCAGATGAAGATCTGTAAAACTCGAGTTAAAAAGAATGCAGTTCAGGAGCGAGGAGAATGTGATGTGAAAAACGCAATTTGAAAATAATTAAATTTGTAAAACTCAATCTGTACTTAAATGAAATAATAGAAAATCTCAATATTATTATAATATGAAATAATTATTAAACATTTTAATGAAATTTGAAAAAATAAGAACCAAAATGTAAAAAGAAAATTTTGACAGAACAACAACGTTACTCTCAAAGTTAATCTCAGAAATGTTTCTTATTAAGAAGTTTAATTTCTTTGTTCGCAACAATAATGCAACAAAATTCACTCCATACATTTTTAGATAACGAAGCTTTTTTGATAAGTTCTGCTCTAGAGGAAATTTCTGTTTCTGCTTCTTTTTATTTGGCATCACAATAAAGCTGCTCAGCTGGCATTTCTCAATTAGATTATGATTTACAAACAAATCAAATATAGTCTGTCTGCTGGAAGTAAAAGCCCAGCTTGATTACTGTGTCTCTGAAGATGACATCTAACATTAACCCAAAACTCTGTTATCTTTGACCCAATTATTAGCTGAATTTGAGATATATAAGAAAGCATTTCCTCGGTGTACATTGTAGCTCTGTGTGGGCTGCTCTTGTAAAAAAAACTTTAACAGGTCAGAGCGTCACTGAATGGGTCATGTGACTCAGAGCACCGATTTACTGCAGTCTGAGCTCCCCCGAATATGCAGCATCAATCTTTATGCAAAAGGAGCGAGTTAGTGGCATTTAAACAGATAAAACAATACCATGACTGCAGTTTTAAACAACAGTCAGACAGGCTAAAAGTAGTTACATTTGAAAGCATTCAATAAATATATGTTTGAGCTCATTTTTGGAAAATATAAACCCTATTGAAAGCGTCTGTAGGTCCATCAGATACTATCATTTATATAAGTTAAAAAAGCTTGGCTTCTCAGAGGACCATTACTCAGAGCTACAGATTAAAATGAAGAGACACAATTAGGGACAGCTCCAGATTTAAATGGGAAACAGATTTACTGGGATATGCAACATGCAAAAAAATATATCTCCAAGTTTACAAGACAAAATATGCAATGCTATAATAAAATTCAACTTATCTTTTTTGTCTTTTGTAGTTCAGAAAGACTCAGAAATAGCTGTGCAGCAACCCAGAGACAACTAGACTCACAGGAAACAGACTGAAGATTAAAATATACGAAACCTGCACGAATTAAAGCACAAATAATAAAAATCAGTGTATAAGTGATTTTTGAAATATAAGGTTACATAAACTGTAGCTGTTAATGACACATGGAACACATTTCTAAATGAGATTTCGCTGCTTGTGAAGGAAGATAATCACTGATGCAGCTTAAAGGGAAGTCATGCATGAATGGATGGAACTGAAGTTGTGTCCATAATAGGGATGCAGGATATATTGCCCTTCATAAATAAAGCACTAAAGGAATAAATATCAGTGTATTGTGGTTATCTTGTGTTTTCAACAATAGGAAAGCATTTAATGAATATGTTTGAGCTCAGTTTTGGGTTGAGTAGCTGTAGGTCCATCAGGCTCTATCCTTAGAGCGTCCCCATCAACTTTTATCACAAAGTTACACCCTTGATCTATGGATTACTGCTCTCTTACATTTGTACCTCACTTACACAGAAAGGCATGGCTTCTTTTGCCCTGAGATCCGATGAATCAGCTGTTGCTCAGTGTTCCTTTTGCCCTCACAGAACTAGGAAAGAAAGACTTTAGCTACGCAGCTCCTAGTGTTTTGAATTTTTTATAAAATCCTTAAATGCTTTTAATTTGAATGTGAAAGAATTTGAAGCAGCCTCGATTATCTGTAATTGTTTTACTTGATATGTTTTCTATGTACCTGTTATTTAATTTAATGTATCTCTGTTTAATATGTAACTTTGCTGCCCCTTGGCCAGGACTCCCGAAAAAGAGGTTTTTAAAGGCGTCATAAAAGGATTCTATAGGGTATTTGGTCCTTAAGGCCTCTGAATACCGTGTGTAACATTTGGTTGGGCTGAAAATGGTATATTTGCTGTTCTATGAGCTCTAATGCAGCCTGGGTAAAAGCCCTAAAATGAAACGACAGGTTTTCTTCCTTTTATGGTATGATCATGAATATTTAGATGAGCTGTGCGCTGATTTACAGCGAGCAAAGCTGCTGAGCAAAGACGCATCATAGCAACAAGCACTCACTCACTAAAGCATCAAATTGTTGATATGGTAGGGTGACCAGACGTCCTCTTTTCCCCGGACATGTCCTATTTTTCATACCTAAAAAAATGTCTGGGTGGGGAATTTCAAAATCATCCGGGATTTTGGTCGACTACAGTGCATTTCTAATTTTATTAAGTTGCATTTCATTAAGATGTTTTTACAGATTTTTTTTCCATATTTCATTAAAAGGTTAAATCTAGACGTGTGAATTTATCTTTATAAGGAACTTGACAACTTTTCTGCTCCAAAGAGATCTGCTTGCAGATTCCAAAACACCAAAGGCGACGGCTTCATTAGCGACAGCAGCGGCCTAAATCTTACAAGTCTAGCGCCCCTAGTGGCTAAAAGTAACAGGTTGGCAGAAGACAATAAGAGCAGCATCTTTCATGCACTGCTACAGCTTTGCACTGCTTCTTTTTAGTCAAGATTATTTATGGAGTCAAAACTTTCCCCACTGGGTAGTATCCTCAAAGGTTCCTTAACCTCTGCTCTGTTTGCTCCCACAGATTTCTCACATCATTCGGGAAATTCGTCAGTTCCAACAAGCTCCTTACAGAATAGAGCATCAACCCAAGGTTTGCCCGTCAGCTCATTTTTTAAAAATTGTGCACAAAGAAATGACTTAAACAAACTTTTTTTCTTCGTTTCAGGTAACTCAGTTCCTGCTGGATAAGACCTTAGTGATGGATGAAGACACCCTGTATGAGCTCTCACTGAAGATCGAACCTCGAGTCCCGCCAGGCTGATTTCCCACAGCAAGCCCTCGTGTTTACATGTCTTTTGTTTTTATGTTGTACAGGGGTGTAAAAAGGGTAGAAGGGGAAACTCAGGAGAAAATGTGCCTTATTCTATGAATTATATGAGGTATTTATTTAGTAATTACTCGGTATCACAGAAATACCTCCATGTCATAGTGTAGAAACCCCACTGGCCATAGTACTGGAATATTGCTGCTATCACTCAATGAGGTCATTTATTGTTTTTTTTATCTTCCAAACAAATGTCTTCAGATATTTTACATCATTTGGATTCCTGCTAATTATATCAAATAATCAGGTTTACCTTAATGAGCACACTAGTGTTATTGTTTTGTATTTGTGATTGTAATGATCTAGAGCTGAGGTCTTCAACAGGGGGTCTGCAACCCCTAGGTGGTCCGTGGAGGTACTGCATGGAGGTCGTGAAAGTTTTGGTCAATTAGACTTTTTTTTATATTGCTCCCTGCAGTTTATTCTACTAATTGAAATGTCTTTAAATCCACATTAACATGAATTCAACAGACTGTAGTAAACAGATAAATGGAGGCAGAAGATGTCTTTCAGTCATTAATGCACACATTCAGCGACGCACAGGAGCTCTTTCAAGCTGGACACCGTTTCATTCACAACACCTGTCCCATCAACCAGGAATCAGAATTACTTTAGTTACATTAAGCCATCTGCAATAGAGTGACTGTAGGACCAGTTTGATGTGACTGTCAGGGTGTGAGGCATGCAGAGGCCTCCCTGCCTCTGCATGTGAGGCATGCAGAGGCAGGGAGGCGGAGGGGAGTTTCTTGAAGATTGATTTGAATAATCACAAACAACTGAGGCAGAAATCCAAAAATCAAACTTAAAATGTTATCAGAACCATAGAGACATCAGCGGAAAAGAGCACGTGGAGTTAGGGAAAGGCAACGAGAGACGAGGAACCAGCTCTGAGGAACTACACAAGGAGAGTATATATGGGAGACTGAACAAAGAGAGGATTAACGAGCTGATTGGGAACAGGTGTGAAGAGAGGAGTCTAGAAAGAAGACCAACACAAAAGGGCAAAAAATAAAAACCTAAGAACTCAAATATATTCAGAAAACACAACAAAATAGGAATTAAACCAATAAAACTAGAAAACAAGGAGCAAAGTAAAACTGAATACTCAAAAGAAAACATAACAGAACCAAGACCGTGACAATAACACAATTTTATACAATATATATTATTAAGGGGTCCCCATCAGTTTGGGAGTCCTTCGCCTGGAAAACGTTGAAGCCCCCTGATCTAAAGGAAATCTGAGCAACATTCCTTTCTAAATGCAAAATGACTAAGCAATCTGGGGCCTACAATTCACCCCCTTGAAATTATGGTGTGTTATCAGCAGGTTGACACAACTAAAAGCTCTTATAACAGCAACTAATGAAAAAACAGAGACAAACTGTGCAAAGAAAAAAACAAATTAAAACACACATAATTTTCCTGTTTTTCATTCAAAGCCCAAGAACACAATTCTCACAGTTTACGTTCTTTTTTTAATGTGGTTCCTTTTTTTATCTTAAAACCCTTGTTTCCCTAGCCTCGTGAGACCATCCTGATTTCGCGAGCTTTCAAGGTTTCACTCGCAGATCAGTCTGGAGACTCTTCGTTAAAGAAAATTTGGAGCCGTTCACCAAACGAACGTCCAATCAGCGTTGGCTTTAGGGCGGGTTGAGGTGTGACGCAACGAGAAGCGCCACCGTTCAGTCTAAAGAACATGGCGTCTTCAGCCGATGAAACTAGCGTTAGCGTGGCTATCGAGCAAGTTTTATCGGAATTACAGAGTATTTCTTCACTGAAAGAAGAGCAAAACACTGCTCTGGAGGCTTTTCTCAGAGGAAAAGATGTTTTTGCTCTTCTCCCGACTGGTTTCGGCAAGAGTTTGATCTATCAATTGGCTCCTCTTCGTCGTCGCTCTGTTAGTACGTCATATGCTTCGTTGATCTGATTGGTTTATTTGGCCCGTCTATCACCAACATAGGCCAATCGGCTAACCAGTATTTTCCCCCCTTCCCAAAATTACTTCAACGGAAGGTTTCCAGATGGATATGCGGAGCAAATCCATCTGGCGGAGTCAGGTTATTGTTTCCTCTCACCTTAATGCAAACTGCCGTTGCACAATCTTCCAATGATGTCACTGTTACCACAGTAACCTTTTTCACGCTCCCTCTACCTCCCTTTCTGCTTTCGCCCTTCGTAGGCCTAAAACTTTTTCCCTTAAAGATTGCTAATACATAAATTATAGATATATGTTATTTTTTTTTATGTGTAAACACTCATCCATAATGGTTTATTAGGCATGCCAAAAATAAGTTTGAAAATTATTATTTTGCTTATAAGGCAGTAAATTAGTCGGAAATGTTGAAAATAAGAAGTGCTAGAAGAAATCTATAATTGAACAGCTTAGGCTCACTATTTGGAAGGAAACTGGTATGTTTTCTGGTCAGTAACTGAAATGATCTTGGCTCATTAAGAATAAAAGTGTTTACAGATCTATTAACATATCTATAAACCATTTAATAGCTATCTAAAAGGGGAGATTAGTTTTCTTAAGGAATGTTTTTACAAGCTTTTAATAAGCAGTATGATGCTTTTAATGAGCCGTCTGATTTCTGGCTGCTGGGCCAGATTTGTTTTAACACTGTTTATAATCACCTGATGCATCAGTTGGAATTTCATTTTTAATCTTGAACATCTGATAAAGCTGAATAGTTGTTTGTTTCTCTTTTTTTGCTTTTTTTGAGATAAAAATTGCATGTTTTCCTTTTTGAAAAAATACTTATTAGTAGATAAAAAGTTTTTATCTTTTTTCCAACTTCACAATCACTGCATCCCCTTTTAGTGAGCAAAGAATTTTGTACATATTTTTCTGATCAACATTTTTTTATGATTCTTGTCCTGAGCGGCACCTGGAGGAAAATATTGTTGTTTGATAACATTTTCTGACAGTAATGACAGTATATAGTAAGTTTATCACTGTACTGACATGTTTGCGCCATTTGATTGTTGCAAGACTCTACGGTTATTTATAACATAAACATAAAGTATATTATGAGTTTATCTCTGTAGATGCAATTGTATTTTCTTTTAGTAGATTTATTTTTGCCTGAAATATTCTGTAACTTGTTTGTATTAGTGTTCAATGCTTGTTTGATTCAACTGTTAAATACTTTTTTTTCTATAATGTGTATAATATATGTACACTCTACACTCTTGTAAATAAAACTTAGAGTGACAAAGAATGTCGCTGCTTTTAAATAATGAAAGAAGATGTACAGAAGACATATACTGTAAAGATGCAAAGCTGGCCATAGCCTCTAAAACTGCATTTGGTCGCCATACAGCGGTTATGCTTCACCCAGTTATAAACACAACACTTCTCATTATTGTTTTACCAAAATTCAAACTATATCTTTACACCAATGCAATTGTTTCAGTATAGAAACCAAATGGTGAGGAAAATTTATTGAAAATGATTTAGGGAATAAAATCTGATGCAACGTTCAGAGAGACACGTGGGGATTTACCAAAAGGCAATACTAGGCAGTTGTCCCAAGTTCCTGGGGGCCCCAAAGAACTCTGTTTACATGTGTAGTTAATAGAACTATTCCTTATTAGTGCACATCAATTATGTTTTTAATAAAATCCTTTCAGTAAAATGCCATCAGAACACTTTCACTATTAAGTGTGTCTCAGCCCCCCCTCCGCCTTCAGTGTCCACCATATTGGATCAGTCCATTTGCTGCACATGTTCAGAAAGATCAAACAGACAGCAGCAAACTATTTAAAAACAATCAATGCAGAGAGTGGTGTTGCCAATTTAGCATTTTGTTGCCATATTTAGCGACTTTTCAGACGCTTTTATTTCAAAACGTCCCTAGTGCCAAATCTAGTGACTTTTTTCTGCTACAGGAGACTTTGGCGATAACATCTAAAAGCAGCAAACTCTGCTCTCCAGAGCAAGTAGATTGGTAACCCCGCCTCCTGCTCTCCTCTATCTTGTCTGCTGTCATGATTCATGCAGTTTTATTTTATCCAAATGATAAATGGAGAAGAGATAAGCAGATCATGGCTTGTCTACAGTGAAAAGAAGGACTGGGTTATTTACTTTTGCCGTTGCTTTTTGGAAACAGGAGGGAGCAATCGGCTAAGTGAGCTTAATGCTTAGAAAAAATCAAATAATGTACATCTATTCTATTAAAATTTCTGTATCTGTATGATGGGTCTGTTTTATGTGTTCAGACAATTTACACTTAAAATAAGAAAACACAATTGCGTTTTCTTATTTCAAGAGCATATTATCTAATTATCTTATTTTAAGAGCAAAAATACTCATTCCATTGGCAAACTATCTCATTTACCTGCTCAAATTAAAGGTAAATATGCTCAATTTAAGAAATTTTTAATAATTTCTTGATCGTTTTTTTCAGTGTGGCAGAACCAGGCTCAGCGTTAGCGGCCATCTGCCGATGCAGACTGGGGTTCAAGGAGACTGGCTCCAAGCCAGCTCCCATGTCAGAGGATGAAGAGAGCGCATCCAGCCAGTCACAGTCAGGGAAACAGGACTACAGTGAAAAACAGGCCGATCTCCAGCATCTATAAACAAAGGTGTTGATTTCTCTCCAGGATGGAGTCAAAGCCAAACAGGAACAGATGAGGTGAAGCTAATATGAAAAGTAGAGAGAGCAGAACAGTAGAGATTGAACTAACAGATTCTGCAGAGTGGGAGAATAGATATAAAATGAAGCAGAATGATGAAATGGGGGTCCCTATGTCCTCCAGCAGTCTAAGCCTATAGCAGCATAACTATAGAGGTAGCTCAGGATAACCTGAGCCACTCTAACTATAAGATTTTTATCAAAAAGAAAAGATTTAAGCCTAGCCTTAAAAGTAGACAGGGTGTCTGCCTCACGGACTAAAACTGGTAGTTGGTTCCACAGGAGAGGAGCCTGATAACTAAAAGATCTGCCTCCCATTCTACTTTTAGAAATTCTAGGAACCACTAGTAAACCTGCAGATTGAGAGCGAAGTGCTCTGTTAGGAACATAAGGAACAATCAGATCTCTGATATAAGATGGAGCTTGGCCATTTAAGGCTTTATATCTGAGAAGGAGGATTTTAAATTCTATTCTTGATTTAACAGGAAGCCAATGAAGAGAAGCCAGGATAGGAGAGATATGATCTCTCTTTTTCATTTTCATCAGAACTCTGGCTGCAGCATTTTGGATCAGCTGAAGGCTTTTAACCACAGCTTGTGGACTTCCTGATAGTAAAGAATTACAATAGTCCAGCCTTGAAGTAACAAATGCATGGACTCGTTTCTCAGCATCACCCCTGGACAGGATATTTCTAATTTTTGCAATGTTCCTCAGATGAAAGAAGGAAATTCTAGAAACCTCTTTGATATGGGATTTAAATGACAGGTCCTGATCAAAAATAACACCAAGATTTTTTACTTTATTATCTGAAATCAGTTTAATCCCATCCAAATGAAGTGACTGGCTAATGAGCTTCTTTTTCAGAGACTCTGGTCCAAAGACTATAACTTCTGTTTTGTCTGCATTCAGAAGCAGAAAGTTAAGAGTCATCCAGGTTTTTATGTCTTCAAGACATGCCTGTAATCTATGTAATGGGTTAGCTTCATCTGGATTTATAGACAGATATAGCTGGGTATCATCAGCATAACAGTGAAAATTAATCCCATGCTGTCTAATAATTCTACAGATTGGGAGCATGTATAAAGTAAAGAGAATTGGTCCCTGCAAGGTCATTGAGAATTCTTGTTAAAAAAAACAAGTGCAAGTGAGATGTATTGTAACGCACAAGTCAGAACATACCAGGCACTTGTGAGAAATGTGATATACAAGTTTATTCCCAAAAAAAATAAATAAATAAACAATCCCCTGACTTTGTTTCCAGGTTTGAAGACGTTTAACTTCCCATCCCAAGCTTTTCAATTAAAAATGTCAGAAATAGGTTTTATAGAGTGGACCAAAAGAAAGCCTTATTTTGGTTTAGTAAACATGCAAATTGGAACAAACTAACGGGTCCACCCCTTTGGAATGGGGGTCGTTTTGTTTCTTTGTTAGTCTGTAATACCTGAAAGGGGGGGTTGTTAATGTGTACTTGGAGCAGCAATTTGAACAGTCTTATTTGAATGTTTTCACATCCTCTCTCAGTGCCCTAAGATACCAGTCGGCTCTGTGGAAACATTGGTATGCAAGTCTCTTATAAGATACATTTTATTTTATTTTTTGTGTCGTGTTATTTTGTATCATCTCTTTGTGGACCATGAGTCTATTGAATAAAGCAATCAACTCTGGTCCAAAGACTATAACTTCTGTTTTATCTGCATTCAGAAAAAGACATAATTCATTTTTCTGTTTTCAAGACATGCCTGTAATCTATGTAATGGGTTAGCTTCATCTGGATTCATAGACAGATATAGCTGAGTATCATCAGCATAACAGCGGAAATGAATCCCTTGTCAAACTAGTGTCAAACATCCAGCAGTTTAGAGCCTAGTCCACAATTATTTCCAAGCTGCTCTTATGATTGACTAACATCTATTGGGAAGAATTATAAAAAGAAAGAACGCAACATGTATCAGATTTTACACCATTAGTTCACCTAAACTCTGCCCCGGTCCTTTGATTCCTACAGTGGATCCACATTAAAACATCACAAGAATCCCGCGAGATAGGAATAGATATGAACACTTTAACAGGGTAGCACAAATCATCCAAACATCAGAGCTGGAGCTCTGATTAGTTGCTGTAACACAGACCCAGTTCAACATAAAAGAAAAGCTGATATCTCTCTGGGTTCAGCACGTTCATGCCCTGGATAGTAATGATGCTGCTGACCTTGCTGTTGGGTTCATAAAATGTAGGTTTTTGCAAAAGAAGAACTGAAATACACAGTAATGGATACAATTTCTGCAGAAGCAGAGACAGTTGAACCCCAGACTCAAACACACTGTCTCCCACCGGACCTCCTCCGCAGAGCGGTTTATTAACAGAACATGACACATGGTTACAAACATAGTATTGTTCTGGCAGAACAATTGATCAGTTCATAAAGACAGAATGCTCCATCAGAATGACAAGGCAGGATGGTCTCCTGACAGAATCATGAGACAGGAGTGGAGCATCCCCTCGCACCAATGTTGCATAAACACACATTAATTTTATCATCATCATGGAATAAACCTAACACTTGCGAAAGGTGAAGAGAAAGGAGCCAGAAGCATAATGTAAAGTTTACAATTGGATGTACTCGAACTGAGTCACGGTTAAGGGCAAGATTGCACCAATTATGTTGCCGTGAGGGAAAACACAGCTTTCCTCAACGCTTCTCACATTAGGCCGCTGTGAAAAATTGACTCCTTACATGTTGGACAGTCGCCAAATAAATCCAATAGCCTTGCAGCTGCAGTCGATCTGACATGGAAGTATCGATGGTGGCGTTCTGTTGCTGATGGGTTTCGGTCAATGGCGTAACTATCGGTAAGCAGAGTATGCATTTGCTTAGGGGACCCCGACCTCTTCGGGGCCCCTTCACTGACACCTGGTAGGCCCCCTACGCAATTGTGGACTATGTCGTCTCTTTGCAGATGTAATAGAGCGAAAAATTCCTCTTAAACCCGCCTGATACTAGATCAATAGTACTTCATCTGGGGCCCACCCAGATAATGTTGCTTACGGGCCAATTGTTGCGTCGTTACGCCATTGGTTCCGCTCCTCAGGATCCTGGTTCCTCTGGGAGGATTGTGTGGCAGCCCTTGTCCAGATGCTGGGCTGGTGTGAGTGGTGTTGGGACAACAAACGAAACCTCCACAGGGAGATCGTCCCACCCATAAATACATGCAACTATAACTGATGTGGAAGGTGGTTCAACAACCTAAAAACCAACCAAAATGGAGCTGAATGCAACTACAAGCCACGCTTCTTAAAGTTTTATTGGTAAAGAGTATAAATAACTCCAACTTAAAATTTTATTTAATACAAGTTCATCTTTATTAGCGTTAAATGCAACAAAAAAAGTCAAAGGGCAATAATTTGGAGAGGTAGATTTGGCCTTGGGATTTGCACTGCTGGCCTTCCGTACTGTACAAGTACGATAAATGTAAAACAGTATGAGTTCCTAACTAATGCACCAAAACATCTTCAGTATCTGAGTTTTGGTTCTGTCAAGCCCTTGGTATATTTTTCTTTAGCTGCAGCTCTTTGGCTCTGAGTTTGTGATAACTGAAGGAGAGCAGAAGAGATCATGTGTAAATGTGAAGGTCAAACTAGACGGTGATATCGGACACTCGTGGAGAGCATTGGTGTTAATCGTGGCTCTCTATAAGAGATCTCTGCCTTCATTGGTTTATAAATGCCTCTGCACTTATGATTGGCCCTGACTTTTTTATTCTCACACATGCGGGGGTGGAGCCGACAGTAGCGGACACTCAAAAGCTACTTTCCTGCAACCTTCAGTCAGAAGGCAGCAGCTTTCAAACAGGTACTGTACCCTCCTTTTCAATATCTCCTTTAGCCTCCTGTAGCTATTGATGTTGGTGTTTTTTAAGCTAGACTTCCTGTGAAGCAAGTTTATCAGTGAATGCATGCCTGCCTAATAGTTGTATTTGATATAAAGTTATAGTAAAATCCCTTAAAGACAGAATGTGATCACAATCCACTTAACCTGGTAAATAAAATGCTTTTAATTTGTGAACCACTGGTGTCTAGCAGCGAGTTTAATATGTCCTCCAGGACATTATGCCACAATATTTCCCTAATTTTTCAATTTTCCTCTCTCTATAACATTGGATTGACCTTATGAGCTTCTGTACAGCGACCTGTGAAGAATGATACCATATTCTAGAGCCAGGAGGAGCTTTTGTCCTGGCACTGAATCCTGGCAGCAATCATCCCTCCACTGATCTATAAATAATAATGTTCCCACTGACCCAAACAGTATTTGGCCTCCTCTTTATACAGTTAAAACACAGTTGCATCCAGATTTTAAAATTCTGTAGGAAAGTCATATGACTGTAAAATGTTGAAGGCTTTTTTTCCGCTCTGACCTGAATTAACAGAGGTATTCCTGTCCTGACGGCGCTCCTCTATTTTAGGAAACAGTCTCCTGGACACCATCTGAAAGTCAGGCTACTCTCTGACCTTCAGTATATTGAATCTGATTGGAAATAAATGGAATGTATTCTGTTCATAACAATAAAAAACAACTAAAAGCATCAGTTGGGATTTTTTAAACTTCAGAGGGGTGCAGAACATTACGGCCCTCGTGTTGCAGGTTCATCAAGTCATTATTTGCTCTGAATTTGGATTTAAGACTGCAGAATGGATCAGTGTAATGTTGCAGTTCTTTGTTTGGGATCAATGTGATAAAAAAAACCTTAAACAAATAGCTTTGATATTCTAAATGCTGTAATTAGTTCATAAACTGTGAGGGAGACTGGAGTACCCAGAGAAAACCCATGCATAAACATGGAGAATTTGCAGACTCTTTATTGTCGTATTGTTTCCTGAGAGTGTTTAGGGAATAGGGCTTGGAATCTTGAGGTTGTAAGTTTCAAACCCACTCCCACAGACTGCCACTCTGGGTCTCTGAGCAAGACCCTTAACTCCCAAATGCTCCCCGGGCGCCGCACAGTGGCAGCACACTGCTCCCCAAGTAGATGGGTTAAATGCAGAGGTAAATTTCTCCGTTATGAGATCAATAAAGTTCAATTTATTTATTTTATTTGCTTAAGAAAATAAATAAGCACAGAAAAAAAAAAGAAAAATTGAACTAGATCATTTAGAATACATAAAAAAATATTTGTAGGATGTTAAATGAAGCTTGGCGCCTTAAAAACAGAAAAAGTTTAACCCAAAAGCTCTATTGTTCTGCTCCAAAATGTGAGCCATTCAAATGTATTTTGTGGGAAAAAAAATTAATTTTCTGTTTAGTTTGTAGAAACATTTAAACATAGCAGAAGACTAAATAATGTAGAATGATAAACAGAAAAAAACCAACAAATCTTATAAATCTGCATGCCCTGTGGTTGCAGGGAATGATTTATTGCTTTAGGTTTTTAACGTCTTTGAGTAGTTTTCTTCTAGTTTTGAATACTTTTCCTCAGTTCTACCTAGATTTTTTTTATAATTCTCTTTATTAGTCAGTTTATTGGTCTGATTTGCATTAGTTGTTGGTTGAAATTTCATTTGTTTGTAACCTCTGTAGAGAGGTTTTCAATTGATTGACTGATTGTTGTATTGTTATATAAAAAAATAGCAGTGCACAAAAAAGAAATGCAGTCGAGTCATTTTTTTTTAAGAGGCAAACACATTTGCTAGATTTGCTTTTGTTTTTGCTAGGGTTACTATCAGCAAGGATTTGATTTTTGTTTACTGCTTAAAAATCTAATCAGTTCAACTAAACACAAAAAGTGCATGCATGCAGTTTAGTTTGCTGTTTGTGTACTGAATGAAGGTTGTGGGGGTTATATATGTGTTTGTAGCTGTATGAGATCCAAACAGTGGTCAAATCTTCCGGTGCAGGTCTTGAATAGAATATTTTACTTCTGGATAAATGCAAACTACATTTCTTTGCTTTGACAGTGTGATGAAAATGTAAAAGCAGGCTGCAGAAAGCTGGTCTAAAAGGGAAAGAAATTATTACCATTACCAGATGAAAGGTAAAATCAGCTGGCACGTGGAAGTGAGAGGAGAAAACAACATTTTCCCAAAAACCATGAGGCGGTTTGCTTCTTGAATGCACATCTGATTTCTTTCTTTGAAAAAAGACGTGGTCAATTTTAGCAAAATGTGGATAAACTAAAACTAAAAATCTCTAACTACTTAGATCAAAACGAAAGCTAATTCAATCCGATGTTTAAGTTAAAACAAGTGATAAAAAGGCAGTCAAAAAAATCGCATCTTCACACCAGAACTTTGACAGAAACGGTCTCCGCCGCGCTCTCAGGTACGTTTTTAGACTCTTGATTTAACTGAAGGGTCTAAAAGTATTCTAATCAATTCTGAATATTAAAGCTAAATAATTTGGTTCCAAAACAATTAAAGGATCTGGATTTCTAAAGAAACAAATAAACTGGTCATATTTACAACTCTGCATTAAAAGGCCAAAAATTTCCATCAAACTTTTGCCCAAAATCATAATTATGTCACTTAGTCACAGTCTTGTAATAGTTGTGGGTTAGTTTTCTTTACATCATTCCCCAACAAGAAAACTGATTAGATAATTTATCTTACATGATTAACTGATCGCTTTATTAATCTTCAGGTTTTTTCTCCTTATTTCTAGCTCTTGTTCTTTTGACCGATACTTGAGGTAATCTTCTGGAGGAAAGATGTCAGGCTCCTTCAGGCGTCTGATCTCCGGCCGCAACACTGCGGTGCTGCTGGCAAGCTTGGGAGCAGGGACGATGGCTACGGGGGCGTTCCTGAATGAGAACAACTCTCTGGCTGCAGAGACAAAGAGAAAGCTCTACCCTCCCAGGTAAGACGGGCTGATCTCGGCCCAGCTGTGGCGGTAACACTGAATGACCTTGATGAGTGAGTGAAAACATCAAAACACAGAAAGTTTTCCCATCTCCAGCAGTTATGAATTCAGCTAAAAAATACACAAATGAGCATTTTATTAGCTCATCCAAGAGTGACAAACATAGGAATTGGATCTGCAGACAGTGAGAGCGAATGGCTGTTTGACAGGAGTGCAGGGGTTATGGCTGACGTAATGGCAAATGCCTGCGTGACCAGTGACACTCTCATGTTTCATCTCTGTTACCTCTCACTCACTTTCTCCAAAAGGATCAGATCCTCCTGCCCTGCACTTTATCTCTTTCCTGGTCTCCTGATGGACTCGGCAACAAATCGAAGAAAAACTTCAACCCTCAAACCAAAAGAGTTTTTTGTACTGTGTCAGGAACCCTTAGAGAATCACCTGCTCCATGAGCAGGATAAATTCAGTGATAATTAACAAATCATGTACAGCTCTTGCAACTAATGCTGAGCTATTGAACAACTAAGGAAGACTTTCCTCTCAATTTTCTTAAAGAAAAGTTCCAAAAACATCCTTGAATGCAGAACAAGTGCCATTCAATTCAGTTCATTTTAGTTTATTTCTATAGCGCCAATTCACAACACATGTCATCTCAAGGCTCTTTACAGTTCACCAGATCATCCAGTCAAATCAAGTTTTCTATCTAAGGAAATCCTGTTGATTGCATCGACTCATTGACTCCAATGCAATCCCTAACACTAAGCATGCTTGTAGCGACAGTGGAGAGAAAAAAATCCCTTTAATCAGGAAGAAACCTCCAGCAGAACCAGGCTCGGTGTGAGCGGCCATCTGCGGAGGCCGACTGGGGTTCAAGGAGACAGAAGCAGAGATACGGAAATAAGCAAAGATGCAAAAGGAACTTAGTGTTACAGATTGAACAATCAATTTGGGGGAATAGAGATAGAATGAAGCAGAACGATGAAATATGGGTCCCTATGTTCTCTAGCAGTATAGCAGCATAACAACAGAGATAGCTCAGGATAACTTAACTATAAGCTTTATCAAAAAGGAAAGTTTTAGAGAGGAGCCTGATAACTAAAAGATCTGCCTTCCATTCTACTTTTAGAAATTCTAGAAACCACTAGTGAACCTGCAGATTGAGAGCGAAGTGCTCTGTTAGGAACATAAGGAACAATCAGATCTCTGATATCAGATGAAGCTTGACCATTTAAGGCTTTATATGTGAGAAGGAGGATTTTAAATTCTATTCTGGATTTAACAGGAAGCCGATATTTCAAGAGGTTCTGCAGCTCACTGTGACAGCAGTGCAGAGTGAGGCACATGCTGGGCTTTGCACATGTTATGTTCTGCAGTTAATCTGATATGAGAATGAAATGTCTAGAAAACAAGAGTAAAGCTTCAGCTGTACAACTGCCTTTCTGCTAAAGTGTAAATTAATGATTTCTCCGTGACTGATGTGCAGCATGTGCTTGCCTGCAGTATTAGATTAAAAATAGATTGTTTTAGGAAACACACTAATATCATAGAGCCAATAACATCGAGCCAACGGCAGGCAAACTGCTCCTTTAATTTGCCAATTAAAAAACAGTTCAACAAAAAACGACTTTTATTCCTATCAGACAGAAGAAAAAAAATCCCTATAAGACAGTAAAAACACTTTCCTCTCCATGAAGAGATCAACAACTATTATTTATTTAAAAAACTAAATATTTAATTTGAAACTAATTATTTATTTAACAAACAAAGTATTTGGTTTGGAGCTAGATTTAAAAAAAACAACAACAAAATATTTCATTTGCAAACTAAATATCTAATTTGTAACAAATTATTTATTTAACAAACTAAATATTTAGTTTGCAAACTAAATATTTAAATCCAAACCAAATATTTATGTTACAAAGTAGGATTTTTATAAATGAATGAAAAAATATCTCCCTTAATTTTGTCTGAAAACACGCTAAATAACCATAAATATTGCTCGTAATTTTTGACTGATATAAATATTTATTTAACATATTAAATATTCAGTTTGGCACTAAATTTTTATTTAACAAACTAAATATTTAATTTGAAAACTAAATATTTAGTTTGGACATGATATTTATTTAAGACACTAAATATTTATTTTGTAGCTAAACATTTATTTAGCAAACTAAATATTTAATTTGCAAACTAAATAGTTTGACCTAAATGTTTAGTTTGTTAACTTTATATTTAATTTGGATCTTAATATTTACTTAACAAACTAAATATTTCGTTTGGAGTTAGATATTTATTTAAAAAAAACTAACTATTTAATTTGCAAACTAAATATTTAGTTTGGAGCTGAATATTTATTTTAAAAAACTAAATATTTAATTTGAAATTAATTATTTATTTAACAAACAAAGTATTTGGTTTGGAGCTAGATTTAAAAAAAACAACAACAAAATATTTCATTTGCAAACTAAATATCTAATTTGTAACAAATTATTTATTTAACAAACTAAATATTTAGTTTGCAAACTAAATATTTAAATCCAAACCAAATATTTATGTTACAAAGTAGGATTTTTATAAATGAATGAAAAAATATCTCCCTTAATTTTGTCTGAAAACACGCTAAATAACCATAAATATTGCTCGTAATTTTTGACTGATATAAATATTTATTTAACATATTAAATATTCAGTTTGGCACTAAATTTTTATTTAACAAACTAAATATTTAATTTGAAAACTAAATATTTAGTTTGGACATGATATTTATTTAAGACACTAAATATTTATTTTGTAGCTAAACATTTATTTAGCAAACTAAATATTTAATTTGCAAACTAAATAGTTTGACCTAAATGTTTAGTTTGTTAACTTTATATTTAATTTGGATCTTAATATTTACTTAACAAACTAAATATTTCGTTTGGAGTTAGATATTTATTTAAAAAAAACTAACTATTTAATTTGCAAACTAAATATTTAGTTTGGAGCTGAATATTTATTTTAAAAAACTAAATATTTAATTTGAAATTAATTATTTATTTAACAAACAAAGTATTTGGTTTGGAGCTAGATTTAAAAAAAAAACAACTAAATATTTCATTTGCAAACTAAATATCTAATTTGTAACAAGTTATTTATTTAACAAACTAAATATTTAGTTTGCAAACTAAATATTTAAATCCAAACCAAATATTTATGTTACAAAGTAGGATTTTTATCAATGAATGAAAACATATCTCCCTTAATTTTGTCTGAAAACACGCTAAATAACCATAAATATTGCTCGTAATTTTTGACTGATATAAATATTTATTTAACAAACTAAATATTTAATTTCCAAACTAAATATTTAGTTTGGACATGATATTTATTTAAGACACCAAATATTTAGTTTGTAGCTAAACATTTGTTTAGCAAACTGAATATTTAATTTGCAAACTAAATAGTTTTGAGCTAAATATTTAGTTTGTTAAATTAATATTTAATTTGGATCTAAATATTTATTTACCAAACTACGTATTTAGTTTAGAGCTAAATATTCATTCGACAAACTAAACATTTCATTTCCAAACTAAATATTTAGTTTTGAGCTAAATACTTTGTTTGTTAAATTAATATTTAATCCAGATCTGAATATTTATTCAACAAACTACATATTTAACAAATTTAACAAACTAAATATTTAACAAACTAAATATTTGATTTGCAAACTAAAAATTTAGTTTGGAGCTAAATATTTATTCAATAAAGTAAGATATTTATAAATGAATGAAAATGACTTGGGGAAAAAATAGGCACCTTATTTTTCTCTGAAAACACGCTTTATAATCATAAATATGGCTCCTAATTTTTGACTGCTTAACTTTACAAACGGCGCCCATAGACTGAACCCTCCAGAGAAACCACAGGAAGGCTAACATTACGAGTTATTTTTGATCATATTGCATTTGGGTTTTGTAAATGTAGACAATGCCACACTTCATCACTGCCTCATGGTTTTCATGAGTCGCTATACATGAGATATCTGTTGAAACTAACAAATGGTATCAGCTTGTGATCTATGATGGATGGATGGATGGATGGATGGATGGATGGATGGATGGATGGATGGATGGATGGATGATGGATGGATGGATGGATGGATGGATGGATGGATGGATGATGGATGGATGGATGGATGGATGGATGGATGGATGGATGGATGGATGGATGGATGATGGATGGATGGATGGATGGATGGATGGATGGATGATGGGTGGATGGATGGATGGATGGATGATGGGTGGATGGATGGATGGATGGATGATGGGTGGATGGATGGATGGATGGATGGATGGATGGATGGATGATGGGTGGATGGATGGATGGATGATGGGTGGAGGGATGTTCTCATGCTCTTGCATTTAAAAGACACCAACTAACAACTTCCTTCCTTCCTTCCTTCCTTCCTTCCTTCCTTCCTTCCTTCCTTCCTTCCTTCCTTCCTTCCTTCCTTCCTTCCTTCCTTCCTTCCTTCCTTCCTTCCTTCCTTCCTTCCTTCCTTCCCTCCTTCCTTCCTCTTCCAGTTCCGACTTCCCTGACCTGAGGAAACACAACAACTGCATGGCCGCGGCTCTCACTCCAGCTGTTTATGCTAAACTGAGGGACAAGTTGACTCCCAACAACTGGACCCTTGACCAGTGCATCCAAACTGGGGTTGACAACCCTGGTCACCCTTTCATTAAGACAGTGGGCTGTGTTGCTGGTGACGAGGAAAGCTATGAGGTAACAGAAGCAGTGAAAAGAAATATCTTATTCTCTTTAAGGATAACAGCTTATTATCTGAGTCTCACAGATGAGCAAGAAAATCAGAAAAGGTCTAGCCTGATTACTAAGTAAATAAAAAAATCCAAATATAAGTTGATAGGAGAATCATGAAAATGATCACTTTCAAAGCATTTGCTTTTGACCACATCTAAATCTTATCATTATATTCACCAACTTTCAGGAATACACTTCTGATGTTATGTTGATGATACGTCCATGTTAACATCAGAGCTATTAAATAGGGGAAGTCAAGCTTAAGCGCACAGGCAGATCTGGTTACTACTGTCTGCATGTATGTACCGTAATTAGATCTTCCTTGGTTCTACTTCGTAAAGGATGTGAAACAAAACATTTTATTTTTAAAACCAAAAAAAACCGTTCTACTGGGGAGAAGTAAAACCCAAAAAAAAAATTTTTTAAAAAAAAACCCAT